AGTGATGACCTTGTCACTCACCAAAGTGACCCTCTAGACAAGTTTAGTGCTTTTTACTGTTTATGAAGTGAGAGTCTGGGACCAAGTGACCTCTAACATTTCTTTCCATTATAATAGCCTATGATTCTGTAAATGAACTGTGCTGCGCCCTGCATTTGTACAGCATATTTCACTTCCCAAAGCATGTCAATATCTATTATTTACTGATCCTGTGAGGCAGGTATGGTATATTTTTTTATCCAACGTTTATAGATAAGAAAATAGAGATTTGGAGGTTGTGGCTTCCATATGTTTCACGATTAGGTTTGAGTAAAGGAGCTAGATTCAGAAATATTTTGTTGACTTTTAAAATTATATCAGAGTTGGGGGTGTTTCCCTTTAAGAGTTCTTGGCAATTACAAATGATTTTGAAGTATCATGTGAGGTGGTGGCTGCTATGGAAACTGCATGAATACATGAAGCATGCAAAGCCTGTCACCACATCAGATGTTGCTGCCCTTTGGCTATGCTGACTTACTCATCTGTTTTTTTGAAAAATATTTCTCTCTCTTTTTTATTTTTCCAAATACATGCAAATTATTCTTATAATCCAAGAAATCTCATTTTGAAATGACTCATTTTTATGAAATGCATTCAGTGACTTGGAACAAAAGATTCTGGTAGAAATACAACCTGGAACAATAAGCTATTACAAATATATACTATTCATTTTGTATTTCTGTGGCTCAACTAAAATGTGAAAAGAAACTAAGAGAGAAAAATTAAACCCATGAGCTGGGATCATGTTTATATCACAATTGTAAAGAAAAACCATGCATAAGTTGAAGTGTGACTTTTTCCTCCTAAGTAATATATAAAGATATTCAGGATGTCTGAGTTCTGAACAAAGCTATAAATTTTTAAACTTTGCATGCATTTGTGAAGTATTAGAACTTATAGGCATCAATAAATCTTAAAAGAGCAGTCATTGCTTTTACATAGCCTATTAAACATATACATATATATATATTACATATATGTGTATAATATACAGAATGTCTGTAAATAGTTACCACCTGCCTTAGACTAAATGTTTGTGTTTGCCAAAATTTATATGTTGAAACCTAATGTCCAATGTAATGGTATTTACAAGTGGGACCTTTCAAGGCGATTAGGTCATGAAGGTTGAGCCCTTATAGGTGGGATTAGTGCCATTTTAAGAAGAGCTCCAGAGAGCTCCGTCCCCCCATCCACCACATGATGGCACAGGGAAGAGCCTGCCATTTGGAACCAGGAGGCAGGACCCCACCAGATTTGGAATTCACCAGCACCTCGATATCCCCAGCCTCCAGACCTGTGAGAAATAAAATGTGATTGTTTATAAGCCACCTGTCTATGGTACTCTGTTATAGCAGCCCCGGTTGACTGACACTACACTGATATTTGGTGTTTTAAATGCTGGGCTCTCTGTCATAAATGGGACTCAAATATCTTGAAATTGCCATTGGATATATAGATACACAAATTATATGGACCAAAATATTTACATTCTCCTATATTTACTGTTCTTTGAGAAATATCTTTTACTTCAATTTTTTTGTCATCTTACCTGCCGCCTAGTGATGCCAGCTGCGGTTGGAGTGGTAACTCTCAATACCATACTTTCCTTGCTGCCAATTAAGCTACTGTGGCACATTGGTATTCTTTTATTTGCATTCCTCTGATTCATAATAGGTACATTTTTATATGCCGATTAGTTAATTATATGACTTCTGTAAAATATTTATTCATAAACATAGCCATTTTGCTTATAGATTTACATTAATTATTTATATACAAAAGGACAAAATTAATAGTATAGAAAATACTAATGTTTGATATATGAAAATTTTAAATTGTATGTAATAGGCAAATACATAATCATAATCTTCATATGTAATATATTGGTTTTACTTTTAGAAATTTCTCATCTTCCATAGCTTAAATATTCATATGTATTCTATAGTTTCAGTTGTTATGTTTAAACTTTCCATCAAGTTTCAATACTGTATATTTTGGATGTAATGACAAATGAGAATTTTTTTTCCAAATAATAAATTTTTCCAACACAATGTTAAAAATAATACATCTTTTCCTATGGAATTGTGGTATTTTAAGTCAAACTATTGAGGTTCTAAGATTGATTTTAGGGCTACCCTGTTATTTGTATTTTGATTCTTAAGTCACCACAGCATTGGGTTAAATATTATAACTTTAAAATAAATTTCAATATCTCCTAGCATAATTAACTCCTTAACATGGTTTACACTTCTCATTTGTTTACTTTTTCCAGATAAACCTAGTAAAGTTCTCACTCCCACCCAGTCAAAATTTCCAATGCTTATTTTACCAAAAATGCTATATATTGAAATCAGTTTACAGAATCTTATTAACAAAATTTCCAATGCTTCTTTTCTGTTTCATTTAGTTTATTTGTTCTGCCTTATTTGTAACATTTATCTCAAACATGAAAGAAATTATTTTACCAGAAATGCTATATATTGAAATCAGTTTACAGAATCTTATTTGTACAGGGCACCTTGATGACTATGAATTAATATTGGACAGGAGTTAAAAAAGACTGATAAATTTACTCTGAATACATGTAATTTTGGAAAATTACATGTATTGTAAATATTAAACACAGGATTTTTAAAAGTAGGGGTGGTGAGAGTAAATAATTCATGTCTTATAAGAGAAGACATGAGGTGGTTAACTGGTAAGCTAATTTATGTTATTGAACTGGAGCACTCTTATCCTGAAGAGCAAGCATTTTTTTTTAACTTTTTTTTTTTTTTCTCCTGAAGAGCAAGCATTTTTTAAAATTTTTTTTTTTACTTTGCAAAATTTGCTTGCAATCTGGTGAAGTAATACAGGAGCATTTCTCAAAAATCGTCCACTCCCAAAAGATTCCTTCCAACTCACTTTCTACCCCCAATCACACTCACATCACAGAGGAGATTTTCATAGGACAAAGTTACAAGAAAGACATAGCTGCAACAATTACTGCATTGTATATTCTTATTCATAAATTTTGACAGTTATAGGAATTACAAACCCAACAGAATCATGGATTTGGGACTTTCATGTAAGAAGGAAGTCAATATTTTAAAGGACATCATACATATGAAGGTGTGAAATATCACAGATAACCTAAGATTTAAAACCAGATTTTCCTATGTGCTGGTGGTTTGATGATGAACAATTGCTTAACCAATCTGATTTTAGTTTTCTCACTCATAAAATAGATCATAATAATATTTTGTAAGGAGTGTAAAAAAGATGAAAGGAAATGAAGGAATGATTTACAAACTGGGAACAATATTTGAAACATAGTAGTAATAATTGTTAATAATCATTATGTATTGCAATTAATGGACAATTTTAAAAGCATGAAGCTCTCCATAATATTAAGAAGTAAGCAAACTAAAACAAAAATAGCCATGAGCAAAACATGCAGAAAATCTTATAGACAAATAAAAGGAAGATCTAAATAGAATCAGGACAGAGACAAACCTAGCTGGTACTTTATTAATATATTCATAGAAATATCAATAATAAAACACTGAGTCCTATAAAGGGTAGTACCTTTTGTAAATGGAACTTTGATTGAATTAAACTGTTTAAAACAGTAGAAAAGTCACTCTGATTGTATTTGTTTGAAACAAAGGCCCAGAAAATAACAGTAACAAAAAGGATTATAGTTTTTTGTTTACCCATTCATCAGTTGATGAGTATTTGGGTTGTTTCCGGTTTGAGGCTTTTATGAATAACGCCGCTGTGAACATTGTGTACAAGTTTTTTTGTGTGAACATGTTTCCATTTCTTTTGGGTATGTACCTAGAAGTGGAACTTCTGGGCCATCGGGTGACTCTCGTTTTCCAACGTGGCCCCGCTATTTTACATTTCCACCAGCAATGTACAGGGGGTCCAATTTTTAAACATTCTCATCATGAATGTTTATTTTATGTTATTTTTGTAATCTTTAATTTCTATATTGGTTAAGGTATTACAAATGTGTCCTCATCCACCCATTAACCCCCAATCTCCCCCCCACCTCATGTTCTCATCCCCCTGTTGTCCGTGTCCATTGGTTTGGCTTATATGCATGCATACAAGTCCTTTGATTGATCTCTTCCCCTTACCCCCACCCTCCCCTACTTTCCCTCTGGGGATTGATAGTCTGATCGCTGTTTCTCTGTCTTTGGATCTGTCCCTGTTCATCAGTCTATGTTGTTCTCTATATTCCACAAATGAGTGAGATCATGTGGTATTTATCTTTCTCTGACTGGCTTATTTCACTTAGCATAATGCTCTCCAGTTCCATCCATGCTGTTGCAAA